TTAACAACATTTCTTTGGATATTTAATGGTAATGTGTTATTTTGAGCTCTATACATAACTGATAAAATACTATAATCTACCAAATCATGGAACTTCAATAACTTCAGTTGATAAAATAATGTGCTTGATGGGTGACTGTAATGCTTTCTGGTGATAATTCTTACAGCTCTTTTCTGTCAAATAAAAATAGGTTTCGTAAATGTTTTACACGCTTTCCCCCAAACATCAATGCAATAGATTAAATGTGGAACAATGATTGTGTTATACAACATGTACAGAGCTTTATCATTTAATAATTCCCTGACGTTGTATAGTACTGCAATAGATTTAGATATTTTTGTTCTTACAGAATTGATGTGATTTTTCCATGTTAGCTGTTCATCAATGATTACACCCAAAAATTCCATCTCATTAACTCTACAAATCTCAACACCCTCAATTTTAAATGGATTGTCAACAGTTTTCTTTTTGTTACTAAATATCATGTATTTAGTTTTGTCTAAATTTAATGATAATTTATTAAGCTTAAACCAAGTTTGTATTTTATCAAATTATGTCTTCATCAATTCCAACATCCGTTTTACATCTTTACCCAAACAAAAAAATGTGGTGTCATCTGCAAAAAGGACACATTTGAGGAGTCCTGATACATTCACCAAGTCATTCACATATAAAATAAATAACTTTGGTCCAAGTACAGAGCCTTGAGGAACTCCACAAGTGATATTGCACAGGTCAGACCTTACACCATTTATTTGTACAAACTGTTTCCTATCTTTTAAATAGCTAGATACCCAGTGTAATGCTGGTCCTCTTATACCATATTTATTTAATTTTTCAAGGAGAATAGTGTGGTCAATAGTATCGAATGCTTTTTTTAAATGAACAAAAATACTAACACAATACTGTTTTTGATCGACAGCAGTAGTTATTTGTTCTATTATTTCCATGAGAGCCATTGATGTAGAGTTTTTTGCTCTAAACCCATACTGACTGCTACTTAGAATGTTTTGTTTAGTAATAAATTTATCTAATCTGGTCACAAATAGTTTTTCTAGAATTTTTGAGAATTGTGGTAATAAGGATATTGGTCTATAATTATTGAACACACATTTATCACCATTTTTAAAGAGAGGAACTACCTTAGCTACTTTCATATTGTCTGGAAATATTCCTTTTGAAAATGATAAATTACAAATATATGTAAACGGCTCGATAACATAACTCATTATGTCCTTTACAAACATCATATCCATGTCCACCCAGTCTTTTGATCTCTTATCTGTAAGATTTTTTACTACATTCATTATTTCTTCTTTGTCAGTTCCATTAAGAAAAATACTGTTGTCACAACTTATAACTGAATGGTTCACATTATTGTCTACTTTTGGTATTTTAGCTGCAAGGCTTGATCCAACGTTCACAAAATGATGATTAAATCCATTTACAATTTCATTTTCATCATGGATTTCATCGTCATCCTTCAAAAAATATTGTGAAATACCTGTTTTTGCTTTGTGACTTTTCAGAACACTATTTATTACTCGCCAAAAGTCAATCCATAAACTTCAAATATCTTTTGTAAGAATTGTCACTAACTCTCCACATTAAGCTCCATCCACACTTCGGTTTAAAAATGAGAAATTCTTAGTTTATGATGTGAATAACTATCAAACAGGAAACTTGATGTGTAAAGTTATATGTATTCCATTATCTTTACCTAAATATTTTCATAATTTCTTTGAGTTTAAGTCTTATTATCATTCATACTCGACAAGACAGAGGCATGATTTACATATCGGTAGCTTTCAACACCAGATGATCTGTGTTTTGAACCTGTACGCTCCACACTGGTTAGTCGTCATTATCTGCATCATTTTTATGTCTATATTTCTGATTTACTTCATTAACTAATACAAAACACTACAGCTAGAGTTCTCACAAGATCCCATAAATATCAGCATATCACTCCAGTTCTGTCCTCATTGCATTTGCTCCCTGTGGTTTTTAGAATTGATTTTCAAATTGGCTCCCTGTGGTTTTTAGAATTAATTTAAAAATTTTATTGTTTGTTTTTCAATCAATCAACCTTTATTTAGACAGGTAAATCCCATTGAGCCTCAAGGACTCATTTACAAGAGAGACCTTTTAAATCCCTGAACGGTCTTGCGCCATCATATCTATCTGTTTCTTACCCCCTTCATCCCCTTTTGCAATCTCAGAACCTTAAATCTGTTCTTACTTTTCACTCCCAGAACTCGACTGGTGACAGAAGGAGGGAGGGCCTTTATGGTCAGGGCTCCTAATTTGTGGAATGCTCCTCCTTTAAATATTAGACAGGCCTCTTCATCGTCTTCTTTTAAATCATTAGTTAAAACTTACTTGTTTAATAAGACTTTAATATTTGAATTTCTTTCTTTTTTATGTTGTTATTTTAATTGATTTGGTATACTTTTGTGTTTCTGATGTCATTTATGATGTTTTAATTGATTAATGTGAAGCACTTTGTAACATTTGTTTGAAAGGCGCTATACAAATAAATAAATTGTTATTATTATTAATATTATTTCATATTTTGCTTTGTGTTACCTGTTGTTCTGTCTGTACAGCACTTTGGTTGGCCTTGTCACTGTTTTAAGTGCTCTATAAATAAAATGGTATGGTATGGTGTATCCCCTTCTGTAGAACCACTGTTGATAAATTTTCATTCATGCATCTAGGTGTTGAAATGCGGAACAGTTTAAAACAACTAAGTGAATCATGTACATTATCTGTATTAAAAGAAAGTTGAAACAAAGTTTCTAGATTTTTTTTAAACAAATTTATTGCTTTATATTTTTATTATTATTATTAATATTTTTGGACAATTTAAATTTATTATGAACTATTATCTATTGATTTGGTGTGCATTTGTGTGTTTAACGTAAGAATGTCCAATGTAAGCTTATGTATAAAGCTTTTATAATTTTTTTCTTTATTTTATTTTATTTTTTAGAAAGGAGGGTGGGCCGCTTGTAAGCCCATTTTGGGTTTTATGACCTCTCCTGCACATTTTGTTTTTTATCTTTTCCTTTATTTGTATTATTTCTTTATGTGCAAACAATAAAACAACAAATAACAAAAAGTGATGACAGTGAGATCTTTTCAACTCTGACTTGCCTGATGGGTGAGCTCTGTGTGCAATTCGAAGAGCAGCTGGGTTGGTGTGGATCCCGTCAGCAATCATCCCGTAAAATACAGTCCTGCCAGCAGGAATCTGATCACTGGTCAGGAGACCTACAATGCCCGGGTCTCGATGGTGGAACTGGACCAGACAAAAGGAGAGTTATACTTTGAATTAAACTCATTGAGAAGTGAAATGCTGGTGAAGATTTTTGTATTGAACGCTTTTTGAATTGAGAAGTGAAGAAAACTGAGCTTATCCAAAAAAGTTCAATCTGGTCCTCTGGACATTCAAAAAATAAGAAAACAGAGGACCAGATTGAACTTTTTTGGATTTTTCTACCTGGATTATTGAGCATGTATCAGGATAAAACTGAGCTTAATTTATAACCTCAATCCAGTATTATTTTTGTTTTCCTTACAGGCAGTTAAACTTTCCTGAAATCTTTGAAATCAACAGTTTGTTAAACTTTCTGAAGATAGATGTGTCTGCTTCTTTTCTTTGTGTAAAACAGTTCATCCGATCCACTCGGTGGAAAACTGAAGCTGAAGTTTGTGTTGCACTAGCACTGCTATGCCAGCAGAGGGCAAGCGTGTTGTTTCTGTATAGAGAGCGGTGGTGGGGCAGAATAAGGAGTAGTCTAAAACAGAGTTATTTTAGAGAAAATACTGGGCGATTCGGAACAGTTATGAGTAACAGAGACACTTGTATGTGACAGAGTGGATAATAAATGCTACAGCTTCCCCAGAAACCTTCAACCGTCTCTTCCTTTGCTGCACTACACCGCTGTGAACCTCAATGGGAGTCAACACTGAGGTCCTGAATTACTTCAGCCTAGGAGCAAAAATAGCTCCCCTGTGTGCCCCCCACACCCCAAAAGAGTTTGGAGGTTCAACAGGAAAGGTTAATATTTGGATAACAGTTGGTGTGAAGAGAGTCAGTTGGACTTACGGGTAGCATGGCGTTGAAAAGGTGGGTGATGAATGACGCTCCATGCTTAACAGCCTCCTCAGCCTGCGATAAATTGGCCACTGAATGACCTGCAGCCAAGTAAATATGAATCAAATCACAGCTTCCAGTTAACAAGACAAAACCAGAGGTGTGGGAAAAATAAAAATGTACTGCTGAAATTCAGATTTTGTAAATCAAATTACAATAATTCCCCTCACCTAATGAAACAGTGATGCCCCTCTGACAGAGCTCCCTGACCACCGATTGACTGTTGGCCAGCTCAGGAGCCAGCGTTACCATGGAAACATCCTCCAGGTTTCCATAGATCTTGAACATGTCCTCAATCCCTCCCGACTGAAAGGTACGCAAGTACTTCTCAGGGTGGGCTCCTCTTTTTTCTACGCTGATGAACGGACCCTCCAAGTGGAAACCTGCAGGCAAAGCACAACAAAAACAATATCTCAAGGAGTTTATCATGGTATAAAATGAAATCAGGCCTCAGACACATTCACTCAGCGAATTGTAGTTTAGGAGTATTTCTACAGTCTAAACTTTTTATTTTTATTAAATTAGACATGTATTAACCTGTTGATGATCACATGCACCTGAATTAACACCACACGCATTACATTTCATGTGTAGTCCAAAAGAGGGTCAAGAAAGACCTCAATAACTCATGAGACCAGTGTTTCACAGATACAAGACACAAGAACCGACGGAACAATCCTTAAACAACCACAGACTCTGTAAACCTAGATGAGACAGTTTTATATGTGGGTCAGGTTTGTGTCAGACAAAGGTGGAATTTCTTTTTAAGGATTGAGTAACCGCCCCAGTCTCTGACACATTTGTTCCATCAGTGTGTTCCTCTGATTGATACAAACTTTGGTCTAACTCCTGTTCTCTATCTTGTTAGAATGTAGTCAAAGTCAAAGTTTCTTTGTCAATCACACCACATGTGTTACAAGTGGTGGAATGAAACAGTGTACACAGGGTCCCAGTTACATCCAACAAAAGTATAAATTGTAAAGAAAAACAGTAGTAAGATCTAAGATCAGTCCCCTCTAGTTCATTATCCTTCTATAAAATTAAATGAATTTAAAATGCTAAAAAAACATATTTGGTAGCTTAAAGGTCTACAATATTCTACTTACAATAGTAAGCATGAAAAGGTTTTCTGTCCAAGCCTTTAATAGTCTTTTTGAAGTGAAATGTGATGGATTTATTCTCGAGACAAGAAGATTTATCCATCCATCCATTTTCTTTACCCACTTCTTCCGTTTCGGGTCACGAGGGTCACTGGTGCCCATGTCCAGCCATCACTGTGTGAGAGGCAGGGTACACCATGGACAGGTCACAAGTCCATCATAGGGACACATGGAAACAAACAAGACAAACAACCATTCACTTTCTCACTCTCACCTTGGGACAATTTAGAGTTTCCAATCAGACTAACATACATGTCTTTGGTTTGTGGGAGGAAACCGGAGTACCCAGAGATAAGACATGCATCACGGAGGGAAAATACAAACTCCACCCAGAAAGGTCACCTAGCTGGGATTTGAACTCGGCGCTGAGAGGCAGCAGCTCTACCAACTGCGCCACTGTGCTGCCCACAAGAAGATTTAAGAATAATTAAATTACTGACTATGTTGGTATGAGAAGCTGAGTTTGGACCTGTTCATCTTGGGAGTTTAGTGAAGATCTTGTTTACTTTCAGAAAACTATTTTGGAATAAAGAGGATGTTTTATTTGCTGCTTTTGCTTGCTATAAAGTTGTTTTTTCATTTTTTAATTCCTGTTACACACTAAAAAGAAATTACACCCCATTTAAAAAACACTTTCTCGTTTGTGATTCAGGAATGGGACTTCTTTTTAAATGTTGGGTCCAGAACTCCTAAAATGGATGTGACAACAACATGTAGAATTAAAAACAAAAAGCTTGTTAAAAGAACTCATTTCTGTGCTTCAGAGCAAATATTTGAGTGTCTGCAATGAATTCCAAATGGAGTTAATTCAGTCTCGTACCCAGAACCCCAGCTCCATGTGGTCCTCCATTCTGCACTTTGATCTGAGGCAGAACCTGGAACACACACCGATTTAGACTTGGCACAACACAGGAAATCAAATGTTTTGAGTTTGTCTGGTTCTATTTGAACAATGCCACCTTGTGGTAGATGGCAGGAGGAGAGGTGACCATCGTGGGGCAGAATGATGTCACGCCATGTTCCAGGACTTTTTTGGACAAGAGAGAAAGTCCAGCATTGATGTCCTCTGACGGCTGAGAAAAGTCCACTCCAAAACCTCCTGCAGGGAGAACAAACAACACCAAAAACTCAAGAACGCACAGTATGCATCCAAAACTTCCCCCGATATCCATGTAACCGGCATGTATTTATATATTTTTTATAATTACACAAAATGTCTTTTGTCATTGAGATTGTTCCTATACCTGACTGTAAATACTTTTAGAAACCACTGTAATAGATATACTGTAAGTGTGTGACTAAGATCGGGAGCCTCTCCTTTTTATTTCTTCTTCTGTGGTATTGTTTTTGATAAATTGTTTGCGCCCCTTCACCTTCCCCTTTTGTACAGTAGTCATACGAAGAGGTGGGTGTCGTTTATTTTTTCATCTAAATTCATCCTGTTCATTTCTAGATTAAGTGCATTTTTGTTATAATCCCCATTGTAATATACAGGTGCTGGTCATAAAATTAGAATATCGTGAAAAAGTCAATTTACTTCAGTAATTCCATTCAAAAAGTGAAACTTGTATATTATATTCATTCATTACACACAGACTGATATATTTAAAAAGTTTATTTCTTTAAATTAGGGATGCACCGATCCACATTTTTAAACTTCCGATCCAATACAGATACCTGACTCTGTATATCGGGCAGTACCGATACCGTCCCAATATCATCATCATTATTGATTTTATATGAGGTTGTAATAATCTCCTCTCTATAGGTAAGTACAATTTGTACAAATATATGCATGTCCAAAAAGGCAACATGAGGTAAGTTTTATGAATGTTGGATAAGTTTCAAAGTTAGAATTAAATCCTGCTAACACAAAACATGTTTGTTTTCAATTCCTAGCTTTAAAGTGGATATTAAAGTGATTAGATGGCTTCAAACACATGTCAAGTTCATGGCATAAACCAACACAAACATGTTCCTGTTTTTAGTATTTTATATTGCTTTATAATGTAGCTGTTTAGTTTCATTTTTTATAAATATATAATTTTCTTGTATTTTTCAATTTGTATGCTTTTTATGATTGTCTACTGTTGTACTGTTAAATATCTCTTGTAAGGTAAACTATATCTTGGCTGCAAGTATCAATCTGTGAAATCCTTCGTTTTCTACAATTGATAGTGGTGGTCATCAACTACGATGAAATTTAGCAACTTCACGGTAAACAGTGGAGCTCCGGGGCTTCAGCGGTGTGTTATTCTCGTTCAGTACGGAGAAGGCAGTCTGATTTCGGTCAGCCACGCTCAGTCTGCCCCACCTCCGAGACGGGCAGACTGAGCGGAGCAGACTGAGCGCAGCTGACCAAAATTAGACTGCCTTCTCCAGACTGAACAAAACAACACCGCTGAAGCCCCGGAGCTCAAATGCCCAATGTAAAACTAACTTTACCGTGGTTGAATGTAGGCCTATGGCTCTGCACACATTGAATGCTGCCGTCTTATTTTGTGGTGTTTCTAGTGTAAAATACTTCCACACAGCGGACATGTTTAGAAGAAAAGTTGGTTAGCCCTTAGCCACAGTGCTGGTCACTCAGGCCTCATGTTGCAGCTGGCTGCAAACTATGAAATGGATTTCCTGAATGTGAGGCGGGTCATATTACTCTGGGTTCATGAGACACACTACCGTTCAGGAAATCCATTCCACAGTTTGAAGCCAACGTGCAGAGCAGCTGGCAGGGAATCACATGTGGAGATATCCTGATACATGCTCAATAATCCAGGTAGAAAAAAAAACACTGTGAATAGTAAACAGCCATCAGTGTGCTAATGATCCATTGTTAGGCTGATGATCCTTCTTGACCATGTGAGCAGCTGGTTTTAGTTGTCAGCAGCAAACTGGTTGATCCACTTCGAGAAGGTGCTATTTAAGAGACTGAGCTGAATACAGCACCTCAGACTGAGGAAGTCTCTCGGATGAGAGATGAAACGTTTCTACATTTTTTTTGCTTCGTTTTGTTTTTTGGTTTTTTGTTTTCTTGTTTTTTGAATGTCCAGAGGACCAGATTGAACTTTTTTGGATTTTTTCTACCTGGATTATTGAGCATGTATCAGGATATTTTGAACCACTTTGGCCAGGATTGCCTCAAATTAGTAAGAGAGTTTGAGAAAACAGCAAGGAAGAGGGCAGACTACAGGAACCACTTGCGATTCAACCTCAGATGTCGACAAAGTGGCATCATTCCCAAGAGCCTGGAACTAAAATCTTCGGTCAGCGGGCACCGGGCAAGCAAGATCCTTCAGAAGGCACAGATCCAGCTGCTGAATGAACAGGTGAGACAGACCAATTTTACTATTGAGGCCTTGAAGGCCAAAGAAGAGCACATTAAACAGAAACTAACAACGTGTCTAGATCAGACCACACTTCAGCAAGTGTTGGACTGTACAGATCAGGCACGCTTAGCACAGCATGTCAAGACCAATGTAGATGAACAGATGCTCAGATATATTCATCATTTAACACGGATTCCTCATTTTTCTGGACTGAATAAAACGTGCATTGAATTTAAGGAAATGCAAACGTGAGACGTCATTTACGTTTGACCCATCAAAATGAATGCGGTCATTTATTTACAGAATCAAAGTTTAACATCAAACATTTACATTAATTTGGCAAATTATGAAAATAACAACATAAGCAATCAATCAGGAAAAATCATACGGCCATGATTTTTCCGTTGCTTCACCACAGACATTTATGAAAACTGTACAATTATGATCTTTTACCCACATGGATGTGGGTGAGCACTTTACACAGACATTTCTAAAATATCTGGAAGAATTTCTACTTGAGAGAAAAGTTTAAAGATGAAAAAGAAGTTTAGAGAAGAGTAAAAGATGGGGTTTGAGGGGAAGTAAGTGTTCACCAGAACGGCACTCTCCATCAGAAACCCAGCTCGCCTCGGTACGCTTGGTAGGAAACTTGACCCATTACCTTTCTGATGATAATCAGCAGATATGGTGTTCCGTTAACGCTACCTGTCCAGCGTCTCCTTAGTATGGCTGTAGCTCGTCAGAAGTAGTGGCGAGTGAAAGGTGTTATACTCCCATGGAACTCGGAAGAGCTTGTTGTCATGTCAGGATCATCCCGTCTCTCACAGAACTGAGCAGAGACTGAACAGAACAGAACTTCTCCAGAGCTTCAACAGAACTGGTTGGACTGTGTATCCAGCAGAACTCCAACAGCACTCCATCAGAACTCTCTAGCAGAACTTCCACCGAACTCCATCAGCACTCCATCCGAACTCTTACAGAACTGACTAGACCAGGAAGTACTGACATTTTAAAGAGCTGTTTCCCGGTTCACTTTTGGGAGTATTACCATTGGTCAGAACCGACCAGACGGGGTGTGTTTTGTGACGTAAGAGGTTAGAAGAAAACCAGAATTGTTATGGAAAGATCAGAAATGTTCTCACAGACAGAGAGAGTTTTGTTTTGGCGCGTTTCAGAAACAGGTGCCAAAAACCTCTATATTACGTCTGAGAGGATGTTAAAAACATGACAGTTTTAACATAACAACTTGTTTTGCGTTTGATTCCAACCTTGGACCAACTTACACTTGCTCATTCAAAAGCAGAAATCAGAAAAGGCATAATTACTCTGTAACAGCTTTGACATGAGAATAAAAATCATTACACAGTTAATAAAATTGATTAGTTCACTGCCACATCTAAAATGGTTTGAACTAAGACACTTTGATTATCAACATTTGAAAAATAGTAATGATAATAAAAAGAGAGTGTTCTTTTCACTTGAATCTTCAAGAAAGAAAGTCTCAGGATGGGTGAACCTGTATTTCTGAGTTCAAATCAATGAAATGACAGTCCCTGTCCCACAAGGTTCTTAAGGTCAAGATTTTTGACCTTAGACTTAGTTTCTGACATGGGCCTAGTCCACTACACCAAGACTCCAAAACAAAACAAGTTTAACTTACTAATAACTCATCAACACCATCACTATTCCAATAACAACGCATTCAGTGTAGGACAACACTCCAGTAGTCAATTACATGCCAGGGAGAGAGAAAAATGGGTGAAGAATTTATCTGACAGACAGCTCACCCAGCCGGAGACAGAAATTCTAGCCAGGGGACTGAACTTTGCGGTTGCAACAAGTAGAATTCCTCTGGTGGAGATGATCACAGCCACAAAATCAGCCATCCGCAACAACAAAATGAAAGAGGGTGAAGCAGAACAGCTCAGAATCAAAGTTTCATTCTGCCTCAGCAATGAATGCCAAACCACCACCTTCCAACATCACTAGAGAGGAGAGAGATGCACTCACCACTCTTAGCAAGGAAAAAAGCATCATCATTCTCCCAGCAGCCAAAGGAAGGTGCACAGTGATTTTGAACCAGAAAGACTATCATGAGAAAGTTATGACACTCCTTAGTGACTTAACAACTTATGAACATCTGAAAAGAGATCCAGGAAGTGGTTACAAGAAGAAGTTAATAGATTGCCTGAAAAAATTGGAGCAGGACAAGGCTATTGACCGTATTCTGTACCACAGACTGTACCCAGGGGAGGCAACACCTAGTCTGTATGGTTTACCTAAAATCCACAAACAGGGTGTACCTTTAAGACCTATTGTTAGCATGATTAACTCTGTCACTTACAATGTTTCCAAATATCTAGCGTCTGTACTCATCCCTTTAAATGGCAGCTCAGAACACCACATACAGAACACCATGGACTTTGTGGATAAGGTGAGGGATGTCATCATGGAGATTGATGAAACAATGGTCTCTTTTGATGTCACATCACTCTTTACGTGCATTCCTGTTGATGATGCAGTAGAGGTGGTCAGTTTAAGATTAAAATCAGACACCACTCTGAGCAGCAGGACCACGCTTTCCACAGAACAACTGTGTCAACTCTTGAAACTGTGCTTGGAGTCAACCTACTTCACATATGGGGAGAAATATTATAGGCAGAAACATGGGTGTGCTATGGGGTCTCCAGTTTCTCCTCTTGTTGCCAACCTGTACATGGAGGAGGTAGAAAAGAGAGCCTTGATGTCCTTTTCAGGGACACCACCAAGTCAT